CACGGAGCAGAACCTACTCCAGGACTCTCGGCCACACCTCCCCACCCACCCCCGGAACCCACCTGGCTCTGTCTCTTGATGCCACCCCCCCACGGTTCCCCACACTGTGTAATGGTGGGGGGGGGGATAATCATAAAGGTGTCTGCTCCCCAGGTGTCTCAGCGCGCCTGCCTAACACCTGCTAAATTCAAATGGTGCACCTGCAGCAAAGCAAATCTCTGTGACAAAGGCTTCGCAGAATGCAACCCATTGTGTCCCACTGGGAGGTCGCTAAAAGCAGCATCCAGTCTTTGCACCGCGCTGTTCTCCGGGAACCGCTTTGGCTGCTGTGGCACAGAGGCCCTTTCACGGCCTGTGGGCTCAAACACAGGGTTTAGAAACAAAGCATACGATGGATGGATCGGAAATGCATATGCAGAGGAGCGGCTTTCTCTCCAGTCCAAGCCTTCAGCGTTTACTCAGGTTGGCTCCAGGCCAGCCTTTGAGGACCCTGAGTGGGGAGAAGGTCTGGGGAGGAAGAGTGCAGGAGGAAGGCAAGTTGGCCAGCTCAGGCCTCGGAGATGGCCTGAGAAGCTCCAAGCAGAGCCTGGCTTTTGGGAGGGGTGCGGGAGAGTCCAGCAGAAACCCCGGGGTTCCATGCCCAGCGCTGCAAGAGGAAGAGAACTAGCCAGGCTACAGGCGTGGTACCAAGGGCGATACCAATCGTATCAGTGCCACTGAGGTCAAAAACAGCCCAACTTGTCCCTTTTCCTGCTGACAGCCAGAAGGGGACACACTCTGCTGCTACCAAAGCACCATCCTGGACACCTGCATCCCTGAACAAAGCTGGCTTGAATTTGTACCAAGCAGCAGGATTGAATTTGGACCAGTTTAGACCAATCAGCAGGCTCAGGTTTGGACCAATCAGCGGGCTCAAATTTGGACTGATTAACAGGCTCAAATTGAACTGAGCCAATCAGTAGGCTCAAATTTGAGCCAATCACAGGCCCGAGGCTGCTCTATATAAGTAGCTCTCCGGCAGCTTTCTTAGGTGGGTGCAGGCTGACTTCCACAACCTGGAGTCTGGGTTTGTTCCAGATGGACCCAAGATAGTGCAGACGGAGCGGACTTTAAACTAGGTAGCTGTGACAGTAGGGGCTGGTAACACTGAAGAGCTCCAGCTTTGGATGGAAATCAGGGATCTGAAGAGATCCGTGAGACGGGAGCACTGGCGTCATCACCGGACAGACACAGGGTTAAACCTTGACCACTGAGGGGTCGATGGGGAGCCCCAGATCCCAGAGTGTAACTCTTAAGGGCCAAGGACTGTGGGTTCCCTGTCCAGAACTGCAGCACCACCAGCTGAGGGCCGTTGGCCGACTCTGTGATTTCTAGTTTGCCATTTCCACCCGAGCCAAGTGAAGGGATAGTTAACAATTCCTTGGATCTAGTGGGAGCAGGGCCGGTGCTGCGGGCCCTGTCATAGCCAAAATCAGGAAGTCTCATCATGGGCAAGCACATCCGTGCCTCTTATGCCCCCTGTCAGCCTGAAATGTCCTTGCCGCCACCCTGACACCCAGAGCGGTGGGGCTCAGCTCTGCCAGACAAATGGCCACCGAGAAGGCCATCAGAAAGAGGGTGTCACCAGAGAGAGGGCAGAGAGGTGGGGTCCCAGGATCACACAGGGCACTCACCAGTCCATTGTGGGTCTGACCCACTTCCCCATCCTTTGGGCACTCAGCAGGCATGATCAACACAGCACCAAGACGGAAACACTTGGCATCCAGGGCATCAGACACCACTCTGCCGTCTTCTCCATCTTCCAGCTGGGTTGGTTGCTGAGCACTGGAGTCCTCCAAGAGTCCTCCCCACAAGGGGCCCCTCCTCCACCTTCCGCTCTGTTCACCTTGCATGCCCTGGTTTCTTTCAGCTACGTTTGAGATGAGCAAATCCTATTTTAACTGAATTTGATTTTTAAATAAAAGAACAGGAAATCCTTTCCACCCAGCTCTCTCTTTAACTCATTTCCTTGGTAACCACTCTTGGGGAACCCCCTGGATGTCCTTGGGCAGCAGATTTCGGGGGATGGGATGGTGAATTGTGACTGCAGAGCCCTGTGTTCCTGTACTTTGGCTTCAGTCCAGTGATCTGGCCTCCAGGGACATCACCGTGACAGGACCCTAAGATTTGGGGCTGGGAAGGGGACCTTGTAAATAACCAGTCCCCGCTTTTGCCAGCTAGCCCCAGGCGTTATCTGCTCTTGGGGACAGCAGATCTGCCATGGAGTCTCAGCCCTAGCTGCTAAGGGGACAGAGGAACATCCACCCTGCCCCACGTAGAAAGGTCTCAGTGTATCCATGGCAGCAAATGCCACCAGGGGAAGCAGCTGACCTGGCTTGAGACAGCTGGCAGCACCAAAGGAAGGACACAGGGCATCAAAAATGCCTGTTGGGGAGAGCAGCTGCCCGGTGGCTGCTGTGAGACCCGTGCGGGAAGGGACTCTGTCCCTGGATGCTGTGTTCTCTGTCCAAGGCTCATCCATCCAGAGGAAAGTGGTATAAAACTGCCCACGGCCCAGCGTCTCACCCCTTGCTTGTGAGGAAAGGAGGGGTCCTCTTTCCAAGACCCCGAGGTTAAAGTCACTCACTGCGCAGCCCACAGCCTAACCACACCCTCACCGCCAGCACCTCCCTCCTGGCTCTGCATCCTCGGGCCTACCTACCTCCACCCAGCTCTGGCTTCTTTTGGATACTTCTCCCTCCTTCCAGAGGGACCAGGGCCCTCCCTCCAGCAAGCCTGTGTAGTGATAGCATCTTGGGGTCAGGGTGCCCCCAGAGCCTGCTGGGCAGTCAGCAGCCACAAGGCCAAGGACAAGGGTCTCCCTCTCAGGGACCCACTGGCAGCTGACCTAAACCTTCAGGGACTGTGGCCTCTGCACAACCAGGCCACCTGCCCTCCTGGGGTGTCAGCTTGTTAAGACACTAAGATTGCGACTCTGGAGCTCGCTGGGGCCATGGCTCAAGTGCTGCAGTCTGTCTTGATGTGGATTTGGCCCATTTCCTATAATAAATGTTTCCTCTTTGGCTGTGTGGCCTCAGGTCAATTTCCAGAGACTTTAAGTGGCTTATTTATTTGTTCTTTGTTATGGTTTGCACCAGTCACAGTGGTTTGGTCCTGGAAGATTTTCTGTCCTGTCCTGAAGTGGACAGGACAATGCTCTACACTGTTTTGTTTTCTAGGATTTTGCTTCTCATACGCCAAAAAGAAACCCTGAGATCTCTTACAGCCCTCCAAACCCCTGGTGTAGTTGTAAAGCTACAGAGAATTCCACTGGAGGAAAACTTGAGAATGTCTTTAATGAAGCAGCGTTTCCCCATGAGGGGTGAGGCCGGGATAGATGCCCTGGGTGGTGTCACCAACCATGTCACCATGTCTTCAGCTGAGGACACTCCAGGGCAAAGCCTGTTCAGACAGGACAGGGCAGGGCTTTCCTTCCCAGTCCCACTCGAGCCCTCTCCAGGGGGACATCTGCGTCCTCAGAATTCCCACACTGCCACTATCACCCGGGTTCCCCTCAGGACTGTGGGGGCTGGGGTCTCAGGCCATCTGTCCTGGAGATGTCCCTCCAGCCACGTGACCTCTGCAAAGCCTAGTGGAAGTCACCTGCTCAAGTGAAAGGCACAGCCAGCAGAAGCCAGGCGGGGCAGTTTCAGGAATAAAGGCCACATGGTCCTTTCCCAAGTCACATTCTCCAGCTCCGGGCTAGCACCGCAGTGGCCTCAGCAGTGACCATTCAGCCCCAGGATGAGGGTCCCCACCTTGCAGCAGCTGCATGTGGCTCCTGGCTTGGTTTGTCCCGTGGTTTAGGGTGCAGGGCCAGGGAAGGCACCGGCCACTGTGGCCCTTTCACACACACACACACACACACAGCCTCCTGAGACCCACTGCGGACGCACCCAGAACCCATGCTGTGCCATGCAAGTTGCCGGGGTGCCCAGTGCTCTGAACACACCAGAGAAAGACCTTGGTTGACCTTGATTGAGGCTGTCAAGGTCACACTCCAACCACCCCCAAACTTACAGGCAACAAAGAAGAGCTTTGGGAACAAAGCTCCTAGTGTACCCCTGCCTCTGACACACACAAGCACACGCACACGCGTACACAATCCACATTCCCTGTGTGTGCCCTGCCCTTTACTACCCTGGGGAAAACAGGTAAATCAGCACAAATGTGGGAAAGGACACAAGCAGCCGTTGGAGACTTCGCTCACACCCTGGATGACTACTTCTCCCACACAAGATCCATGTGGAGTGGATGTTTGCTTCCCCTCAGGCCTGTAAGCCTGCTGAAGGGGCTGAAGAGTCCCTGCACGGGCCCCGTGGTCCCTACCTGCTCCCACACTGCAGCCCCTGGCTGGACAGCAGCTCCCTGACAGGAACATCAGAACCAGCCCAGACACCTCAGCAAGGGCAGTGCCTAGCAAGGCCCCGAGGTTCTCACCTGGAAACTCAGCCCTCCTCGGACTCCCCCACAGTGGTGCTGGCTCCAGGGAGCCCCGACTCCAACTCACGCCTCACAGTGCTTTCAACAAAGGACCCCCACATTGGGGTCACACATGTCCTCTGCTGATTCTTCATCCTGCCCCTCAGAGCCTGACCTAAGTGATAACCACCCACCGTGGCAGGACCTGAGTGCACGCCGCACTCACAGGCCTCCCTGCCCTCTGGGACAGCTTTGCCCCCCAGTCTCAGGACCAGCATCTGCCCCACCCCATCCGACCCAGCCAGGGACTTCCCTCCCCCAAGGTCCCAGGCAGCCTAGAAGAGGAAAAGGAACAGAAAGGGGCCCCTTTGGGGCCACACCACCCTGCACGGCAGCTCTCTTAGCCTCTGAGTGAGACACCTTGGGGTGCTGGGACCTCTGGGGCTCCCCGCTTATCACACGGGTTCAGCAGACTCATCAGTCCCTAGAAAGCAGTGACTCGCTCTGACCACTCTGAAATAAAACAAGGTGCCAGGAAGGGATGGACACAGACACTTTACTCAGAGAAAGCACAGGTGGCAGCAGACAGCACAGGGCCACAGGAGCCTCTATGAGGGGCCGGTTCCCCCCACCAGTCCAAGTGGGGAGGGAGCAGATGAGGGGTCCCATCAGGGTCCTGGGGGCCCCAGCCTGTCCCTCAACCCACTGTCCTCACTCAATGTCTCCCCCGGGTGTGACCAGGCAGAGTCACAGCAGCAGCTGACATGGGCTGGGGCCAGGACTCAGCTGTGACATGGTTGGGGACCGGGGCCCAGCTCGGGGGCCCACAGGGCTCAGCAGCAGACAGCATGAGATGCGGCACTCAGCACACAAGCTCCAACGTAAGAGCAAGCATGGAGTCCCAGCCAGCCAGCCACCAGGACTGCGCGGGCCTGGGCGGAGGGGGGTCTGCCAGGACCAAGCAGGACAGGCAATGATGGTGTTCACAGCTCTCGGGTCCGGGGACATTCTCCCAGCAGGCCCGGCCCAGCCTGGACCAAGCTCACGGCAGCTGGTCCGTCCGCTTGCTACGCCACACCACCAAGCCGGTCATGGCCACGGTCAGCAGGATAGGCACAGCGATCAGCGGGATGAGCACCTCATCGGGCGGGTCCTCCCAGTGGGTCCTGTCCACCGTACAGTTGGAGAAGAACTGCCGGTGGACACCGGTAATGAAGCCTTGGGCCAGCGGATTGGGCCAGTAGCAGCCCACGACAACAGTCTCCTCCTCAGTGCAATTGGTGAAGCTCTCGTAGAAACTGCAGGGACAAAAGGTGACCCCCTCAGCAGGCAAGAGGACAGGCAGGGGGCGCTGTGGGCCCAGTCACACTGGACACCTACCCAGAGCATGGCCTTGGAAGTCACATCCACACTGCCGGCCACATGGGTCCCTGCCTAATCTATGACTGTGTTCTTGTGGGCGTGAGCTCCTGGAGACCCCAGAATGACCTGCCAAATGGACATGCCAAGCCTTGCGTGTCCAGGGCCAAGGGTACACAGGGATCTGGCTGTGGCCACATGTCCCACCAGGTGGTCACCATCCAGGGACACTCTAGGAACCCGAGAGGAAGATCTGCCTCAAGCCAGGCACCTTACAGCCTTCTAGGTTGGCCTGTTCTTGTGGGCCAGGAGGAGAGGGAAGTCACAGCTGGAAGCCCCAGAGGCCCACCTTTCTCCATGTCCTGCGGGGAGGGTGCCTCTCTTAGGGGACAGTCCCCTGTTTGTGATCTCAGCAGTGCCCCCAAGATTGGCCTCGTTTGCCCAGGAGCAGCCTTGGATGGGTTTCCTGAGACTGCCCAAGGGCTCCAGCTGCCAGGGTCCAGAACTCACTCCAGCATCTACAAGGATCTCCCAATGATCAGCTGGCCCAGCATCTGGAGGTGGTGACCTCCCTATCTACGAGGTCCATGAGGCAGGGCCCTCAGTCACAGTCTAAGATGCTCTGCAGCAGCTCCATATGCCACAGAAGGAAAGCACAGGAGAGGCCCTGCTGGCTCCCCATGGGGTCCAATGAGGGGGCCACTTCCTCTTTCCTGGGCTGTCCTTGGAGGGACTGGCTGACCTGGAAGGAAGAGCTTCTCACAGGGAACACTACCTGCTCTGCATTCCCAGAGTCAGAACAGGTGGGGAACACAGCAGCTGGCCCAGGCCCTCCTTGTCCACCTGCCAGCAGGGTCCCCCACTCACCTGGGGGTGGAAGCACGGATGCTGAAACACAGGTCAGACACACCCATCCTGCCCAGGTGAGCAGAGCTGGAAGTACAGGGGCTTGGGATCCTGGGTCAGACCCAGAGCTGCTAAAGGGTCCCTGCATTTGCCAAGGCCCTGTGCGCACCACAGCAACCAGACCTGGGACAATTCCTGCCTCCCCCACCCCATCTGTCCTGCAGGGCCGCAGACTGTACGGCCCACCCACCTCCACCTGCCATCAGACCTGAGGCTGGGGAGCCTCCTGGAAAAAGCCTTGGCCAGGGAAGCTAGGACAAGGGCAGCCACACACTGTGACCCTCCATGTCTCCAAGTCCTTGCTGCCCGGGACTCCCTCCATGACAACCGTCCCCAGAGCGCTGAGTAAAGAAAGGCCAGGTGACCCTGAGGAGGACCCACAGGACACAGCAGCGCATGGGCAGCGCGCCAGCAGGGCAACACTCAGCAGGGCACTCACACGATGAACTGGGACAGGTCACACCACTTCCAGACGGCCACCTCGCGCATTCTCTCGGCGAAAGTCTTCCCGCACCGGGGCAGCCTCTCCAGCATCCGGGTCTCGTTGCAGCCGCATACGCGGGCACAGGTGCCTGCAGAGGAGACAGTTAGGCAGTGCCAAGGCTCCTCTTCGAGCGGGACCTCAGCAGCCCCTCCGGCTGATATCCCCTCAGAGCCCAGCCCTCTTGTCTCCCAGGTCTGTGTTCCCTGGGACAGGACAGATCTGTGCCCACTCCACCCAGTGACATGGGCAGGGGACAGCTGTGAAATCCTGGCCCGCATCCTCAGGAGGTAGGGCAGGCTCAAAGGGACTGGAACCTTCGGCACCAGAGCACAGCCCACAGGGACCTCAAGGCCACAACAAGATGTGTGCCCTTCCTTCCTCGGAAACAAGGTCACTGAGGCCATGTCACTTAACACCACAGCTTCTCAGTGGCAGCCTGGACCCAACACCTGGTCATAGCCCAAGGCTTTGACAGCTGCTACCTGCAGCTGGTACAAAATGACTTCACATTTTTTCTTTTTTGTTTTCCTTGCAGTAGCGGAGGTTCAACCCAGGGCTTTCACACCAAGCTGAAGTTGCTTTTTATTTTTCATTTTGAGACAGGGTCTCGCTAAGGTGCCCAGGCTGGACCTCAACCTTGCAGTCCTTCTGCCTCCGCCTCCCAGAGGGCAGGGATTCCAAGTGCGCCCCACCACAGCCAGCTAAATTCAGGGTTTTTTAAAGTGCGTAGAAGCCTCACTATCTGGGCATAAAGACAGGTAGATCTAGTTCCATGTCCAGACATAAGACAGAAACAAGAAAACTTTCTCCTGAAAAAGACTGAAAGTCCAGAGCAAAATGCAAATAATAAAGTCATCAAATCATCAAGAGGACAAGGGCGAGGACAGGAACCGGAAGTGGGGGGCGTTGCCAGGGGCAGCACAGGGCAGAGGAAAAATGAAGCCTTAGTGACGTGAGGAAAGGTGCTGCGTAAACAGACGACCGACAGGAAATGACCCAGAGACGACCACACCCTCGCTGGTGGGCTGACGCGCAGGTGGACAGTGAGCAGGGCGGAGGACCCCCAGGTCACAGTACAGGCTAAGGGCTCAGCCAGGTTCGCCGGAGGCGGTTCTCCAGGGAAACCCGGGTTGCATTTGGGCGTCAAATGACTGTGGACAGGTCCAGCAGCAGCACAGCCCAGCGACCCCTAGAGGCAGCTACCAGGACTGCAGCCCTCATAGAACCCTGGTGGCCTCCAAACAGTGACCAAAGAGGTCCTAGTCTCTGGCACAGCTTGTCGCAAAAGAAGGAACTCCTTGGACTGTGAAATCAGTCTGCCACGTTACCCAGTCAACGGTAAAGGGTGAAAACCTAACTGGCTAAGGGCAACCTCTGACCAACACATGGCCTCACCAACCCTAGAAATCTACACTAAGAGTCTTTAAGGGAAAGAAATACAGGAAGGGACGCAGTGCCAAATCCGGTGAATACGGGGACAAGGACACAGTGTTGTGTTCTGATGAGCCCGCCTGTCTGTTGCATGGCCCTCAGCGCAACAGTCATGGTATTTTTTTTTAATCCCACCTTAAGCAGACACTCAGGAAAGAGGACTCCAGAGCTGCTGCAGAAAGTAGCAAGAATGTGGGATCAGTGTGCTCAAGCAAGGGGGAGCGTCTTGGGGGAAAGTGATGTCAATGGGTGTTTTACTGCAACAATTGGGGGGGGGGGCAGGGGTTTAGCTCAGCAGCGTAAGTGCCTGCGTGGAAAACTCGAGGTCATGAGCTTGATCCCTGGCACCAAAATAATAATAATAATAATTGTTTTTTGTACCAGGGATCAAACTCAGGACCTCAGGCTTGCCAGGCAGGCACTTATGCCGCTAAGCTAAACCCCAGCCCTTTGAAATAATTTTTAAAGTCTTAACATTCATCATATTTTTCAACCTATGCTATAAGGAAAACAGGCTGCACAAACCTACGAGTCAGACCAAGAACCCTAATGGACAACATGAGAAGCACCAGGGGAAAATCTAACCCAGAGTCGCTACATTATCCTCAATTCTGATGGTTTTTTAAAATATTAAATATTGAAAAAGTAGGGTATGTTTGGAACATCCTACTGTAAGACTGGTGACTGTAAAGAGTTAACTTTGGGCTATAGTTTTGCCTTAGGGTTTTAAAAATTAAAACTTTTTTAATTAAAAAAAATCATGAAAGTGACCCATATAGAGAAGAGAGTAGGAAAAGTCATCTTTGAGAAGGTCCAAATGTTGGGCTTACCAGAGGAAAACTTCGAAACACCTTCATTCAAAAATGAGAATATTGGGGCTGGGGATTTAGCTCAGTGGCAAAATCTCCTACCTGGCAAATGAGAGGTTATGAGTTCGATTCCGAGTACCAAAAAAAGAGAAAAAAAACTGTCCAACTGTTTTAGAGCTGAGGATTTAGCTCAGTGGCGTAAGTGCCTGCCTTGCAAATGCAAGGTCATGATTTCGATCCCCAGTACCAAAAAAAAAAGTACAATAAAAATGAAAATATTGAGCCAGGCGTGCTGGTGCACACTTGTAATTCCAGCACTTGGGAGGCTGAGACAGGAAAACTGTTGCAAGTTTAAGACCAGCCTGGGCTACAAAGTGAGCTCAAAGCCAGCCTGAACTGCACAGCAAGACCCTGTCTCAGAAGAAAGAAAGAAAGAAAGAAAGAAAATATCTTGATCCTGGGTGCTTTTCATCAGTTCCGCCAGCTGCAGCCCAGCCCACTGTGGGGGAGCCTCTGGGGTAGGGACCCAGGAACTTCCGTTTTCTAAGTGACAGCAGTGTGCAGCCCGCTGGGAGAGGGACAGAGGGCCTGGCATCTCCACTCAGATGCCCACTCTTGCAATGCTGGTGATATTCCCACTGGCCAGGGTGATGACCAACCCACACAGGCCCAGGGATGCCATGTCCCCAGGCATCTGACCTGAGACCCTGGCAGGGCCCATCACTGTCTCTGAGCCCTTGGCTTCCATCCCCTCTGCCATGGCTGCCTAGGAGGACAAGAGACCCCTCACAACATGCCTGTCATGCTGTGAATCTCTATGCACCTCCACAGAACCTGGAATCTGTGTTCCCCAGAATCTCTGCACCCCCCAGAATCTTGGTGGCCCCTGTGCCCTTGAATCCTGCATCTCCAGTGCAGCAAGAGCCTGACCCAGGTGGTGAGGATAGTCCCATCAAAGCCTCACACCTGGCCCCATACCCAACGTCCCTGACCAAGGGGCTGTGGGGATGCCTGAGGCTAGCACAGGCAGGCACTGTGGCACCACCCAAGGCATAGCAATGGGGTAAGGATACAGCCCTGGAACACCAGGCAGTAGCTGGTCACCCCCACCCAAACTCCTGGCTGCATCTGCAAAGTCCTCAGGAACTGAATGGAAATAGAAATCCCTTTTGGTTAGTTCCGCCAGGAAACAAGGGACAAACAGGCATGTGCATCTTTCTGTCCCCGGGACTTCCACATGCTCAGAGATGATAAACAGCCAGACATCCACTTCCGAGAGACCTTTGGAGAATGTCACTTAGCCATGAAATCCAAGTGCCAAATCGTCCTGGAAGTAAAAGAGCTGGTACCAGAGCCTGCGAGGTGGGCAGTGGGTCACAGCGGGTCCCTTTCATCTGGGAAATTCCCCTCCTTGGCCTCTGCCTCAGTTTGCTTATCTGTAAAATGACAAGTAGGGCCAGATGACCTACAAGGCATCTTCAATGCTAAAAACCCATGGCCTTAAGCTTGACAAGCCACCTCCTCTTAAGTTCCCAGAGCCACTTGCCACTCTGCCCTGCCTTTGGGCCCACTGGTGACCAATAGGACTACAGCACTGGTGATCAGTGTGACCACAGGTAACACAGTGGCAAGTCATTGCTACTCCCACTCACGGTCAAAATGATGATATCGGGGCTGGGGATTTAGCTCAGCGGCATAAGCACCTGCCTTGCAAGCAGGCAGTCGTGAGTTCGATCCCCGGTACCGATAAAAAAGAAAAAGACAAAAAAAAAAAAAAAAAGATGATATCTTTTCACACTCAGGGCACACACGCATGCATGGCAGGGGGTGTCATGCACAAGCCCTTGGGAAGCACACCTGCCACACACACACACCGGCTTACACATGAGCCCTCTGGCCCCACAATCCCACGCCCAGCACCAGGGGGTGGGGGACAGAACAAAATCCAATCAGAACAATCATCATAGCCACTCTCCACAGATTGCTAGAGCTGCATCTACACTGCAGTCAGGGAAACTGAGGCTAGAGGCTGGATCATGCTGATCTTAAGATTATGGTGCTGGATTCACACCCTAACCAAAAGGATCTGAGCAAGAGCTTCTTGCTGGGTGGACACCTGCTGGAGTCCCTGCCCAACAGCCCTGCACAGTGCCAGAGGCCAGCACCCTCCTGGATGGGAAGTGGTCCTCAGGGCTGGTCAGGAGGAACCATAGCTGCTGGCCCTGCCCCCCGCAGCAGGGGCTTGGAACGGGAGCACAGATGGCCACTGTTTCTGGGAGCTGGGCAGATTAGTTCTCCCTTCCAGAGGGCAGAGCTGGCTCTGTGTTGCCTGCACACTGCATGTGACCATGAGCTTGTGCAACTCTTGCTCTGGCCAAGCCAACACCAGGCAGGTCTGTGGGGGGCTACAGCTGACCCCCACTAGGGAGCCTATCTCCTGGGTGAAGGGACAATGAGGACCAGAACAGGACAAGGAGATGGGACTGTGTCCACAAAACCCAGCAACACGAGGAAGGGTTCTGTGCCGCTCTGCCTGTAGTCTTTCCCCACCCCACGCTGGGGCAGTTACCAGAGCTGGAGTCTTTAGCAGGGACTCCAATCTCCCCTGCCATGAAAGGAGTAGCAGCCTATCAGACAGGACTTGATGGAGGCACTTGCTGAAATCCCAAAGCAGGACACTGATTTCTGGATCAGTCACGCGCCCTGAAAGCCCACCCCACCTGCGGCTCTGAGAAACATGACGTAAATCGGAGCTCTGCCTGGGTAGGAAGGAAGGGATGTCACCACTGAGTCCGCCCACCTTTCCCACCTTGTTTACCGAATCCCGAGTCATCAGAGCTGAGGGAGAAACTGCAAACAGGCTTGCAGCCGGGGAGGCTGGGACAGGAGAGGACCCATCCTGCAGGACCAGGGGACAGTGGCCCCAGAAGGGAGACCCTGAGTCCCTGATACCCAGGCCTGGGCCTTTGTCACCAGCTTAGAGCTCAGAACCTGCCAGGCCCAGGCCTTGCCCAGCGACCCCCAGACTTTGGCAAGCACTCTCTGGTAAAAGCCCTTACACACACGGCGCACACACACACACACACACACACACACACACACACACACACACACGCACACGTCCACATACATGCACGCATGTACGCATCCACTCATCCTCTTATTCTTGGATAATTTCTTTGTCGAATTTTTCAAAATAAGCTTTTCCCGTTTGGCAAGCAAGGCTTCTCCCTCAGGGCTCACGAAGCCCAAGACCACCCACTCCCGGTTCCCCCTCAACGACGCCTGCGGAGTGCGCACGCGCGGCGGGCCTGGCAGAGCGCTGCCCACCTCCCCAGACCTCTCCCCAGGGAGGGATGGGACCGCAGACCCCAGGCCTGCAGCGCAGTCAACGCAGCCCCTGGTTTTCCATCCGACCCCCAGCGCGGGGCGGCCAAGGACCGCGTCACCGCGAGCCCCTCCCCAGCCCCGCGAAAGGAGCTGATTTCAGGGCTTGAGGCGCCGCGGGCCGATCCCGGCTTACCGCAAAGCAGCAGCAGCCAAAGCAGCTGAGGCCGCCGCGACCGCGTCCCCATGGCCCGGCAGTGTGCGTGTCTGCTGTTGCTCTGCGGAGGTCGGCGGGCGGGAGAGGAGGGACCGGGAGGAAGGTGGGCGTGGCTACAGGGGAGGGGGCTGGATAGGCCACGCCCATATTGCAACCCATCCTCCCTGGCTCCCTCCCAGTCCTGCCCTGGCCGTGCCCCAATGCTCCCAGATCACGTCCTGTCCCCCCTCAGACCCTGTATCCCACCCCCTAAGCCACGCCCGTCCTCTCCAGGCCACGCCTCCAGCTCCCCAGGCGTCCTGCCTTGCTAGCTCCTAACCCCTGGGCAGCCTGGCTGTTCCAGCCAGCTTCAGGGGACCCCTGGGGAGTCTGGGCTGGGAGTGAGAGTCGGGTGTGGGCTGGAGGCTGCAGTTCAGGCTGGGAACAGAGGAAGGGAGATCCAGGACCAGGTGCCACCCCGTGTCCCAGAGGGCAACGAGAGTCTGAGGCAGGGCTCTACAGGCAGCTTGCGAGCAGGGAGATGGGGGTTCCCCTGTGGGAAGGGCAGGCAGCGCCTTGAGGGCCCCGCCAGGCTGGGGTGCAGCTTAGTGCTGACCAACACCAGGGCCAGCTGGCCTGCTGTGATGGTGACATCCTCCCTGCTCTGCTTGGGGACCCCCAGCACCTCAGGTCCACTAGAGCACACTGAGGGCCTCACCTATGTCCCACATCCCCCAGGAGCTCCTGCTGCAGGGCAGTGCAGACGTGGGCCTCAGAGCCTTCCCAGTGGAGGGGCCACCCCTCTGCCCCCCACACCCTTCACTGCCTGTTCTTGCCCCCTTGTTTGTCCTCACCTCCTCCCATGCTGCACCACTCAGGACACTCCGCCACTAGGACACTCTGGGGAAATGCAGTGACCTGGCCCTAGCTGGGGACAGTCAGGGCTAGTGCCACCGTGGGCAGCCCATTTGCAGAATGGGGCCACAGGAGAGGATTTGGCAGCCCAGATGGCATTGCCAATGGAAAGAGAGCTCCTCAGCAGAGGAGCTGACCTTGGGAGGGGTCAAGGTTATCACTGACTCACAACTGCTTGTCCACCCAGAGCCTGACTCCCAGCCTCACCCTGAGCCAGGATCTCTGTGACCCTGAAATACAGCAGAATCAAGTTCTTGGAATGCCAAGGCAGAGTGTCTGCCGAAAGATGGGCCCAGCTGCCCTGCACAGGGCTAGGAAGTCGTCTGAGGACAACAGTATGTTACCCAAAGCAGGCACCCTGAAGCACCAGTGATGTCATCCTGAGACAGGGACACCCCACCACGGCTGCTGCACCCCAGCCCACTCCTGAGCCCCACATGACTTCAAAGGGGGGGGGGGCAGCCAGTCCCTGTGACCTACAGGTGGCCCAGCCCAGGTCCACCTCCCTGAGTTCTTTGAGATTCTCACATCCTGGCACGGTTCACAGCTCTAAATCAAAAATTCTGATTTAGATCATTGGACACTGTCTGTTCTGATCAGGCACTGATACATTATCGATTTATTCTGCAATTCTTACTCTTCAATAGTTTGAAAAGCTTTTTTTTTTTCTGGTACTGGGGCTTAAACTCGGGGTCTTGGCACTACACTACATGCCCAACCCTTTTTTAAATTTTTAATTCATTCCTTTGCCTGTTTCTGACACAGAGTCTCTCACTAAGTTGCCCAGGCTGGCCTTGAATTCACCCTCACCCGGCCTCAGCTTCCTAGAGGGCCAGGATGTGTCAGCTACTTTTCTAACACCAAGACAGTGCGATCAGATATCAAGTAGATGCTTCTTCCTGGCGCCCGTGAGTCCACACCGCATCCGAAGGCTGAGGTTTCCTGGGCTCTGCTCCTCCTGCGGTTAGGATTCCGAGACAGCGGTGCCCGGAGGCGAGGCTCCCCCTGCCGGGCAGCCGGCTCACTGACCAAAGCGCATCCTCTGCCCCATCAAGGCTGAGGACTTCCAACCCGGACTAAAGGTGGCAGACAGTGCATTCCAGAGGGGGCCCTCTGACCCCCAGATGTTTCCCACCTGCCTCCAGCCCAAGGCAAAACTCTGTGTTTCTTTTGAAAATAAACATTGTTTGAAACTGACACACAGTTATTGTACCTGTTTCATTCAGTGCATGTCGCTGTGTAATGATTCCAGCCCAGGGAACCGGTGTGCCTAACTCCTCGTGTTGTGAACACCCATTACCCTCTCTACTAGCTATTTTGAAATAATTAATTGTTGTCAACCATAGTCAGCCTATAATATTACAGAACATTCAAAATTATCCCTCCTAGCTGAGTGTGATGGCACACACCTCCAATCCCAGCAGTCTGGAAGGCTGAGATCACAAATTCAAGTCTAGCATGGGCAATTTAACAATTTAGTGAGACCAAGTCTCAAAATGAAATGTTTTAAATGGACCAGGATGCCGAGCATGGCGGGGCACACCTGTAATCCCAGCACTCAGGAGGCTCAAGTAGGAGGATTGTTGCAAGTTTGAGACCAGCCTGAACTGGTCTGAGTGAGCTCCAGGCCAGCCTGAACTGCATAGTGAGACTCTGTCTCAAAAAGACAAGGAAGAAAAAGAGGATCAGGATGTAGCTCAACAGAAAGGTCCTGGGATCAATCCCCAGTACCACAGATCAAGGCATCTCTCTCCCACCCCGCCACCAGCCAATTGTACCTCTGTAACCACTGACCATCCTCTCTGTTGCCTGCTGCTTTATTCTGTTTTTCTGGGATTTTTTTAGCGGGGGACGGAAGATACCGGGGATCAAACTTACGACCTCATGCTTGCCAGGCTCTCTGCTTTTCTTAGATCAACATTTTTAGCTTCCACATTATAGTGAGTTCATGTTGTATTTGTCTTTAGTGCTTGGCTTATTTTCCATAACATGATGTCCTCTGGTTCCATCTGGGTGCTATAAATGGTAGAATTTCATTCTTTCTGTGAATGAATAGTATTCTCTTACTGTGATGCCTTGGGCCTAGATGCCTCTCCAAAGCCTCATGTGGTCACAGGTGGGTGGATCTACAGTGTGTGGTCCTGGGATCTCGGGTGTGTAATTGCTAAACTCATGCACTGACTGGCCTGGCGTAGTTCTGAGCGTGGCTCATGGGAAAGCCCACCCTGGGTATGAGTGCGGGTGTGTGGGTAGCTTGGATGGAGCAGGAGGGATGGGGGGCTGCTGTCATCACCTGTCACTGGCTGTTCCTTTGCTAGCTTGCTGCTTTGCTGCCATCTGCCTGCCATGGACTGTTTCTCCTCTGCGATGCACCTCAGCCATGCAAGCCCACCTTGGAACCGAAATGATCAGGCTACAAACTGAAACTTCTGCAAAGTGTGAGCCAAGCAACCTTTCCTCCTTTAACTGTGGGTGCTGGGTATTTTGCCTCTGCAATGAGAAAAGTAACTAAGACGCTTACAGAGGCGTACCACATTCTTCTTTATCCACTGTCCCACTGATGAGTGCTTATCTTTGGTATTGTTGAGCAGGGCCTGACACATGACAGACAAGTGTTTGTTCTGTCGCTGGGCTGCACCTCAGCCCTCCTTGAGTCCTGTGACTAGTGCTGCACAAACATGAAGTGTAGGTGTCTCTTCAACATAGTAATTTCAGTTCCTTTACACAGAAACCCATGAGTGAGTTCACTGGGTCCTGGGCAGTCACCTTTCTAGTTTTTAAAGAGATTCCACACTGTTTTCCTTATGGCTATACTAATTCACCTTCCTACTGACCAGGTATGAGACCTTGCTTCTCTCTACATTCTCATCTGCATTTATTATTTTTTATCTTTTTGCTACTAACCTAACAGAGGTGAGATGATATCCCCGTGTAAGTTTGATCTTCATTTCCCTGATGATTAACAATATTGAGTGTTTCCTCCATGCATTTTTTGGCTATCTGTGTTAACCTCTTGGGGAGAACCCTTAGTTACTTCCTTATTGCTGAAACAAAATACCTGACATTCCTAAGTTAAAGGAAGAAAGGTTTACTTTGGCTCACAGTTTATAGAGGTCTCAGTTCACAGTCAGCTGGTTCCCAGGGAGAGCAGTCTGTTGTTGGGTTCTGACCAAGGAGAGGGAGTCTATGGCAAGCAAGCAGAAAAGAACAGCAAGCCTGCCTTCTTCATGTCTCCTTATATCCCATCCAGACTACACGTCTATTGGTTGATGCCAGCCACACTTAGAGTGGGGTTTTCCTCTTCATTCAGCCACATCCAGGGCCATGGATCCATTAAGGGACTAACCCAATTATCACACTCTTACTCCAGTCTCATAATCCAGCTACTTCCCCAAACCCCCACCTGTGAGCACTTGAGGCTTTAGGGGTTATCTAGATATAAGCCATAACAACAACTATCAGGTTGGGCTGGGCATTCAGCTCAGTGGCATAAGCACCTGCTTTGCAAGCACACAGTTGTGAGTTTGATCCCCAGTACAAGAAAAAAAAAAAAAAAAACAGCTATTATGTCATTTGCCCATTTTTCTTTTAGTGTTTTCATAATTTAGGGGCTTGCATTTATTTAAGTCAAATCTATTTTGAGTTGATTTTTGTATATGGGGAAAGATGGGATCTGCTTCCTTCTGCTTGTGGACATCTAGTTTTCCCTGCTCCACTTATTGAAGAGACTGTTCTTTATCCAATGTATGTTTTTGCTTGTTTGTCTATTTTGCTGAGACAGCGTCTCATATATAGTCCAGGTTGGCCTTGAACTCACTTTGTAACCCAGGCTGGCCTCGAACTCACAGCAATCCTCCTGCCTCAGCCTCTCAAGTGCTAGGATTACAGGTATGTTCCACCACGATTCCCTCCAATGCATATTCTTGCTGTGGTTGTCAAAAATCAGTTGGCTGTGGGGCTGGAGGTTTAGCTCAGTGGCACAAGCGCCTGCCTTGCAAGCAGGCAGTCATGAGTTCAATCCCCGGTACCGATAAAAAGGAAAAAGACAAAAAAAAAAAAAAAAATCAGTTGGCTGTAAATATATGCATTAATATCTGGGTTCTTTTTTCTGTTCCATTAGCCTATGTGTCTGTTTTCATCCCAGTACCATGCT